TACTCATGTGGTAGTGCCACTATGGGCATGGTTAGAGTTACTCACATGCATAAATATTTGCAGAATTATGTCCTTATGCTTTTAAGGATAAATGGATTACTTTTCAGAAGCATCCATAAATGCCAGTGAGGTCAGCAGGAGCTGCAGGTGCTCATCACCTTTGGAAAATCAAGTCACTTTTCTTTAGGTGCCTAGCTTAGAATATTTCTGCCCCCATGTCCCTAGACGAACCTCTGGTCAGAAAGGAATGGTCTTATTTGGGATGGTCTTTTTTCCATAGTTTTCCCATAATATTAATAATATTTTTCCCACAACAACCCAGAATAGTTCAATTTAATTTACACACACACACACACACACCCCCACAGCCTTGGAATCAACATAACTTGAGCTGGAAAACATGCAACCTCCCTCAGCCTTTATTTACAATATCACAAACCACAAGGGAAGGATCTGGCCAAGTTTCGCAGCTGGAATGGGAACGGCAGAAGAGAGCATGCTCTAGTTTTTGCAACCGTGATATTTTACATATTGAGGAGGGGATGATATGAATCTGTGGAAAGGGTGGAATCAGAGGCCCCAATCCTGTAATCAGATCCCCACAGGTATATCTTTATGACCACTGAGTCCCACTGAAATCAGTAGGGCTTGCTATGTGCAGATCTGATTGCAAAACTGGGGCCTGATATGCTTTTGGGGGGGTGGGGGTTGTTGGCTTTGTTATTGTTATCTGTAAAAGAGAGATGCAGACGTCTGTTTTCATGTTCTTAAATGTTTGATTGTAATGAGTTCTATAATTACCTCACCCTCCAAACACAAGTATGACAAAGGTGCAAAAATAAATAAATAAATAAATAAAAATACAACCACCCCTAAACAAAATTCACAATAGAACCTCAGCCAAAAATTAACAAATGAGAGAGAGAGAGAGAGAGACACACACACACAGATGAAGAAAGTTCACATCTATAGAGAGTTACACCAGTAACAGGAAACTACTGTCAGTTGATGTTGCGGTTAGAACCACACCAGTGTCGTCAGCTCTTTCCTCCCCGTTACACTGGGTGTCCAAACAGCTCATCACGCCTAGTGCTTTTACTGCGACAATGAGAAGGGGGGAAAAAGTTAAACACACCCTTATTTCCACTAGAGATTTAAAAACATCAGTGCAGGCTGAAGTCATGGTCTTTTAAAGAGAGGCACCCTGTACCTGATTGCTCACCTCTGCTGAGAGCTAATACCATACCCAATTCAAGTTGCTCATAATCCACTTCCCTTACCACAAGTTATCCACACTCGCGTCTCTCCTATTACCGACTCCTTTCTCCTCTCCCGCCACTGTAACTCAACAGCTGCCGTGCTAACACGCACTACCTTTAAACGCTTTTAAAATTGCAGTTCTCTCCAATCTCGCTGAGCTGCATCTCCACACAGAGTCCGGTTCTCTGTCTTTTGGAGAGTGGCTGTTGCCCAGCTCTCTGAAGTGTTATCACCTTGATCTAACTCTCCTCGTAAAATGGCTTGCGATACTTCATATAAAAGATTCTACATAAAAATAGATTGTGTTGTATTGATCCGTTCATCCGCCTTTAGAGTCATCTTCTAAAGTGGCCTACAATTCTCATGCTATGGGTGATGCTCAGACCACTTTCCTCAGACCACATAATTCTAAGACTCTTGCTTAGTACAGCACATGCCAAGGGTTAGATTCAGCCCTGGTTTACTCCCACATAGAGGCCCAGCGCTCTACAGGGAAAGCTTGCTGTAGGGTTCATTCAGGCAACCCAACTCAGCTGTGCCCACCTGCTTTACTGGGGGCTTAGGGCAACAGTGAAGCCCAAAGAAGAGGCGGTGCAGGCTGGAAAAGGGGGCACAACCAGGATATATGGGGAGGAGTCAATTCAGGTGTAATTTATACTTCCCTTTGCAGGGTGGTTCTATGCATTGTTGTTTTAAGACATGTGAATTGCCCAGAGGGGGCACTGCTTCCCCAGAGTACAACAGCCCTGCCTCCAATTAGCCCTTCCTGCCCCCCCACCACCACCTCACTCTTGCTGCCCCTTTCCACATAACCCTCCACACCTGGTCTGTCACCCCTCCACACTCCCTTCCTGTGCACCAGCTCCCAACTGCCCTCTCACCCAACAGAGGTAGAGGCAAAGACTAACCAACATGAGTATGAGGGAGGGGAACATTCACGTTTCCTCCCCTCTGAGGCTCAGGGAAGGGTGGAAGGGCAATGAGGAAATTCTGTCCCTCGGAACAGGTAGGAGCAAGGGAGCAGGGGGACAGGTTAGGCTGCTGGTGCAGCAGGCACTCTGTACCAGCAACCTCTGTCCCCTAGCACAGGTGCTGCCTCCCAGCTGGCTTCTTCCAGTCTCTATGAGGGGCTCAAGCCCTATCACAGGTCCTGGAGGCACCACACATGGACATTCAGCCTGTACATCCACAGAGCCAGCTCTGTCCTTGTGAATCAAGCCCAGTTCTTGTATTTTAATTATAATGCCCCCATGGATGTGGGATATGGTTTCTCTCAGGTGCCGACCCTGTAAGGTTCTGAGGGCAGTGGGGGTGGAAGACCCTCAGCACCTCAGAGGAGCAGCCTTAAGGGAGCTTCCTCCTCCTCCTCCTCCCCCCGCACATTATTTGCTCTGTTTGGCAGTCTGGTCACAAGTCCCTCAGGGACTGAACAGCAGAAGTCTGGCACAGGGACAATGTAGAGCACAGTAGGAAAATTACCCAGTGCTTGCATCCAACTGCTCCTAGTTCTGGCCAATGCCATTTAGAACTTTGTTTTCATGAGTGCCGCATTCACCATCAAATTTTAAAGCCAATTTTATTCCCTTATGTACTTAACCTGCCGAGCCATAGAGATTGCTCCTTTCAGCTTCCTAGCGACCTGCACTGCACGGCTTCATTTTGCTGCGTGTAAAGGTAGCATTTCCTTGCTCTCTGAGTAACTGATGACCAATTTTGTGTCTGTTTTACAGAGAAACACTCAGCCCTCTTGATACATTAATCCCTTCAGGAGAGTGAAAAGCATGGGGCTAAGTCCACAGGGCAAAGTTAACCCTGAAAATGGGATGAGACTGCATTTACCTTCCTTTGCTTGTCACTAGTTTACAGAGTCACATTCTTCTCCATTACACGGCCCAGAGGAGAGCAAAGGAGCAGGAACTAGGACATAAAGTGTTTTAAACTCACGGGAAGTGAGAGCAGAGCCAGTTCCTGCCCTTCCGCCAAGCAAGTGGAGGCCCTTCTATGCCTCCACCACACAGAGGAGGCTCAGGGGAGGCTCTTCTCAGGGCCCTGTGGATAGGAGTGAAAATTTTGTGCTGCCAAGAGCATTAACCCTGCTGTTAAGCTGCTAACAGTGGTATTTACTCCCAGAGAGACCGTCCATGTTTCCTACTGCATGGCTGCGGTAGGGAGGGAGACTCCAATGGCAGCATGGCTCTCTCAGGAGAGAAGCTGGGTCCCAGAGAGGCTCAAGCCTTCTGCAGGGTTAGGAACAGTTACCATACCAGTACCTGGCCCCACAGACTTTCTGGGGAGTATCAGACGGAGATGCTCCAAGGTGAATGCTGCTCCATTTCCTGGGCTCTCTGTCCCTCTCCCTGGGTTTTATGCCAGTACAATACTAAGGATACCACGTGGCCCTTCATCTTCAGTGACTTCTGGTTGGGGCACCCAAGTGCTAGTTCAAGGCCAGATTACGCTTTCACTCGCAACTGTGAACATTCAGAATAACTACAATGCCTTGAGCATGTGAATCTAGAATCACTGAAAGATACTTGTACTCCTCAGCCTGGGTACTCTCACAACTATACTTGTCTATCCTGTGCCTGCTTCCAGCTGCTCTTGAACTGAAGGTCAGCAGCCCCGAATTTTAGTCTACAACAGCAGAATGCAAGATTGCAGCACCCTAGACATCATTCCAAAGGGAAACTTTGACTGGAGATAAAAGTTAAACCATTTTTGATACAAATTTTAATGGGTTCAGGGAGAATGGGGTAAGGGAAGTGGGAAAATACAACAGTCATGAATAGTCAAAAGGGTATCCTGAGGCCACACCTACTTTCAAGTAAATTAGCTGAAGAACACCTGTTCATTTGCTAGTTCCATAAGCAGTTTTAGAAATATGAGTCAGGACAGCAAAACTAACATGAAGGACATTTAATGAAAATCACCAAATATTTAAAATAAACATTAAAAGGAACACATCACAAGGTTAAATCACAATGTAATTACAATGTACTATGTCATTACAAAAAACAAAAACGTCTCTTGATACCTTTAATTATCCAAACAGAAAAAAAATTCCAACTTCTCACCATTCGTGCTGTTTGTATGGGGTTGGGGGGGGGAGGTGTTGCATTTCTGTCAGTTTGGAAAATGAACATGAGCCTGTCAATTTCTGGATTACTTGCACTTGCTTTCTGGATTACTTGCACTAAAACAATATTGCAGTATTCAGGTTCCAAACACTGCCTGGTTTAAATTTAAAATAAAATACTTACATTCACTGATTTTTTTAAAAAGAAGAAAAATGAATATATTTGTATGAGGGTTATTTTTTAAAATATATTAGGTCTAAATTTGCGGAGTAACCTATTTGGTAGCGTCCCTTTAACGAACCCACTTTACAAACTTGAGAGCGCTCTGGGTGTTGACTGAGCAGAAACAAAAGCACAGGTTCACTCAGCAAAAGTTTTCTTCAAAAGGAGAACAATTATAACCAGAAAACACACACAAGTTAACTCAGCACAGGACAACCTACTCCTGTGACCCTAGGCACGGAGTCTGACCTTCCCAAAGGCTACCCAAGCAGCCACTCTTTGAACTTCCATTGTATAGCCCTTCCTCTGAGGAACCTGAGCTGAGGCTAACCGCTTGTTCCCCAGAGATGGTTGCCATTCCCCACAGTAGTGTACGAATGGTGGTTTGTTTGTTTTTTAATAGAAAGAGAACTGCAATTCAATAGAACTGTCAGAACATACCGTACATATGAAATCTCTCTGGATGCTTCTGAATGCAGGAGGGAGTCAACGCAGCATTGCTGACGTAGGATGTCACTGTTGGTCCACATATGTCAACATCCTAGAGAAAATAAAGAACATGTACTTAACGACCATGCCGCTGGGAAATTAACAGCAAGAGTGAAGTTATGCCATGCAAATAGCTCCTGTACAAACAACATGAAGCTATAACCTTTTATAATTGTACATCATAGTTCTCTGCAGACATCCCTCCAGTATGTTAGAAATTCAATACGTGATAGTAGGCGGTAACAAGCACCTTAGGGATTTCAGCTCGTTCCAAGCCATGAGTCATCGTAATCTCTAACTCATGGAAATTTAAATTAAGAAAAAAAAATATTGCACTGACCACTACCATGTGCTCTCTTTGCATAAGATAATCATAATCCCCCATGCAAGGTTACCAGTTCACGCAGGGTGCTGAATGATGTAAGTGCACAGATATTTAGCATGGATGTTGATGAAGAAAAAATTCACATAGCAGCAGTCTACTAAACAGCTCCTCTGAGATGAGGCAGGACCCCTTGCTTTAGGAGTGGGAAGGGAGCTGGAACTGCCTTTATAGAAGCTATTCACTTCCACAGGCAGGGGAGGAGTAAGGAAAAATAGCACCTCCCAGTACCACTACAGAGAGATGGTTCTTTTCCCCTAGTATTGCAAGAGGAGCAGCACGGTGAAAGGGGAGTGGGCTAGGCTACCAGGGGAAGTGAGAGTTTTCAGTGCCCCATCTCTCTGTAGTGGTACTGGGAGGTGCTATTTTTCCTTACTCCTCCCCTGCTGTATTGGGGCAGAGATGGGGAATTTATATCCGAGACACTGCCCCTTCTACCTCCCTACCCCAGCCTGTGGTTACTGGTATCCTGGCCCCTCAGGCTGTCTTTGCCCGGAGAGCTGAGAGAGGTCTATAAGGAACATAATAGAACAATTATATCCTAAGTAGCTCATGCAGTTTGCTTAATTATGGCAAGTGGCCTATTACCTTTTTAAAAAGATTCCTTTGGGTGGACTCTCAGCATTGATTTTAACCACTGTAGATCATTTTTAAGGCACGCTTTTAAAGTGCCTGATCAGTATATCAGATCACACACACACAACCCTCCCCTGTCCTGCCGATCCTCACTCCACTGGCTTCTTGCCCCTTCCCACATTAGAATCAAGCTCACTATGTCTCTTCAAAGCCCTTCAAAACCTTGGCCTCACCCACACCTCTGCTCCTGACTCCTTCCTTAATCCCTTTCTTCCAGAGGCAGCCAGCACAGACCCTGACAAAGGCTCCTAGCAGTGGACAGTCCAGAGAGGGGAGGGAAGACAGCAATGACACCAGGCATCTGCACGCATCTGCCTTTGCCAGAAGGCCCACAGCCAGCCACCACCACCTCAGAGGTGGGTGTGGCCGTGAGGTGGTGTAGCCAGGCCTGCCAAGGGAGTGGTGATGCACCAATTCAGTGCATCCACACAGCAGCCCCCATTAACTGGCCTCCTGTTAAAGCTGCCTTACCTCAGCAGAACCTCCAGGGGAGCAGTGGAAACATTATCCCTTTGAGCTTGGGTGGTGCCCAACTGCCCTTTCCAGCACTGGGAGTTGTAACTTGTGCCAGCGCAGGTGATTCTGGCCCCTATCCTGGACTCTAAGCCCCTGCGTTACATAGCAGGAGAAAAAACACTTCATGGCAGTGCAAGCGTTTCCCCAACACACACACTCACAGCAGAGATACATGGGCGCTCCCGCCCCCCAAAAAAACCTCCTGTAGATCAAGCATAAAGTAAAACCTATCCTGGCAGGTTCTACCTTGGAACACACGCCTACAGAGCAGACTGCATACATGCACAGCATCTTGGAGACCGGAACATGGATTACAAGCCAGAAGGCAGGATATACGGAGCCAGGCGTGGAATCACTACACTGTGCACTATTTAGCTGACCCTGCCATGGCTAATAGGGTTGATTTATACCTTACCAAAATAGATCTGAATTGCAGTTTACTCTTGTACCTTCATACAAAGCTATTCAACGTGCTTGCGAGGGTCACAGTTACACAGGAGAAAGAGCAAGCATGAACAATGTTTCAGGTCCATTAGTCTCAGAGTCCTAACAGACAGCAAACAGCCAGACAGCTTAAAATATATTTAGTCCTCAAATGCTTATTAACGTCATCTGACGATTCACAGCTCAGTTGGTCGTATGGAGCCCAAACACCACTTCTGCCTTCCCAGCACAGATAAAAACGCTACAACAATTCGACAGCACATTATTTAACCTATATACAAACCTTTGGTATTGTGACTATTATTAAAGGATGAAATTTGACTTAGAAATTGAGCTGCAGCTCTGGCAACATGGCATAGTGGTCAGACAACAGGACCAATAGTCAGGCAGTCCCAAATGCTAACCTTGGTGCCAACAAAGAAACATCTATTGATAGATTTCAGCTTCAGGCTTGCCAGAATCTGATACCAGACAAAAGTCGACAGGAATTACCTCCTGTCCTCATTGGGGAGGCTTGATTTAAATTAAAGTGATTTAAATAAGCAAGCAGGAAACCTTGTGATTTAAATCATTTTAATTTTGTTTTGCATTTGTATATAGTCCAAAAGAAAGGTCTGTTCTGCTTGGCTGTCATGACCATTCAAATATGTTGATTTGCAACGCAAATATAGCCTTTATACTACATGTTGGTACTTCTTTTTGCTAATCAAGTTTACACTGTACCTATACATATTTTATTTAAGGAATTATGTAGCTTAATATACATTTGTTCAGATTCTTAATTTTTACATTTTTTATCATGTTAAAAAATATATCATTCACCGTTTTCTATTTACGTGACTAGATGGTAATTTTTTTACTCCTGATTTCTTTCACACTTGCATTAGGATGAAAATTTTAATTCAACTAAAAATGCACAAAAGCAGCATTTTAAACTAGTTTTTATGAGTTAAATAAAACTACCTTAAATGTGCTAGATACATAAAAAATATTTATCAAATTATGCCTTGCATTTTAAACTAACCGAGTTATTAAATAAAGGAAATATCATCTACAGTTAGTAAACTGACTAACTTGTTTCTGGTCACCATGAGCCAGATTTTCAAAAGTGTTCAAGTGCCTGAAGGTGCAGACAGGCTCCTAGTGGAATTTTCAAAAAGTGCCTAAACAGAGTAGGTGCCTAACTCCCATGGGAAGCACTTTTTGAAAATCCTATTAGGTGCCTCTCTGCCTAAATACCATTGAAAACCTGGTGCCATGTCCTTCACATTTTTAGAATTAGTAGACCTCATCCTCTCCCACCTGTTTTTTATTCATAGATTGGATGAGAAAAAATGAGCATACCTGCTTTTTCAACTCCCTATCAGCTTCTCAAGTTTGAATTAACTAGTCCACATAAAGAAAATATTCTTTCTGCACCTGCTAACTAAAATGAAACCAAAAGAAATTAAGGCAAAAGCTTTTCTGCACAATACTTCTTCAAAGTACTTACATTGGAAATTAAATACCGGCTTCCCTCCATTGTAAAGACTGAAAATAACTGAGATACTTACTGAATACAGTACAGGACATTGTGACATAGCTTGAATTGACCTCAAAAGTTAAAGATTCCCCCACCCCGTTATTCTGTACATAATTTTAAAAAGGAGCACCCTTTAATTCATTAAAATTTGCAGAAGGGTGCTGCAATTTTTTTAAAAATTTCAACAATTCGTAGATTATATTAAGTTTAGGCCTTTACATAGCTTGTCATAATTTCAAATTTAATTTTAAACAGGTTTATTTTTAAAAAGATAAATGTATTTAATTTAAAAAACCCAAGTTCAATATGAAAATGCTTTTTTTCCATTTAAAATAACAATCATCGACTTTTATCCACTGCATCTTCATTATAAAGACATACCATGAGTGTGTCTTCTTAAACACATAGATCTAAATTAATTCTTGCTGCAACCATGAAGCCTTTAGTGGAGTTGCATCAGAGAGACATTTGAGCCAAGGTGGCTCACACCAAGAATAAAAAGGAAATGCTAATACATGATAGCATATTTACTGACCACCGATTAGGAGCCTGATCCAGAGAGGTACTGAGCAATCGCAAATCTCTCAGACTTCCATGGGAGTTGGGATTGCTCAGCACCTCTTAAGATTCTCACACACACACACACACACACACACACACACACACGTTCAAAAGCATCATACCACCATGCAGAAGACGATCAAAGCAGCTTTAGTAGACAGATTCATATGTAAATACATTTTGCAGTTAGGATGAGGTGCCACCCAGCAGGTGGTGAGTTGCTCATTTTTAGCACAAATGTTGAAAACGCTGCACTACACTAATAGAACTGGCATTTATCTTTCCATGGAAGCAGACTAATTATAACATTCTTTTGGCTGGCTTCTGAAGGCCTGTCTACTTAACTGATGTGTTGTGCTGCAGTTCTCAGTTGTTCCCCCTAAGAGATATCATAAGTGTCACACACAAGTACTTTTTATTGGGGAATGGGTGGCGTTCCCACCCTGAACAGAACAAATACAACAGGGTATACCAGTGGCTCTCAACCTTTCCAGACTACTGTACCCCTTTCAGGAGTCTGATTTGTCTTGCATACCCCTAAGTTTCACCTCACTTAAAAACTACTTGCTTACAAAATCAAATACAAAAGTGTCACAGCGCACTGTTACTGAAAAATTGCTGACTTTCTCATTTTTACCATATAATTATAAAATAAATCGATTGGAATATAAAAATTGCACTTACATTTCAGTGTATAGAGCTGTATAAACAAGTCACTGTCTGTATGAAATGTTAGTTTGTACTGACTTTGCTAGTGTATTTTACGTAGCCTGTGGTAAAACTAGGCAAATGTCTAGATGAACTGATGTACCCCCGGAAGACCTCTGCATACCCCAGGGTTACACATACCCCTGGTTGAGAGGCACTCGGGTATACCATGGACCAAATATTGATTTGGATTATGGCAGCGCTTACAGTTCCAAGCCAAGATCAGGGCCCAACGTAGTACAGACATACAACAAGAGACGCAGTCCCTCCCCAAGGAGCTTAC